TCTCTTAGATTGAGCTTGAGAATGTGAATGCATGTTGATTAGTTGGGATTTGGGTTGGGTAGTTATTGAATCCTACATAGGTGTTAAGAAATCATGTTTTCGGCCCATTTCGGAAATTATTGGGTAACTGTGAGCATACTGTGTGTTATTAACGGACCCTCCTCGCTATGTGGAGTTCTTGCATGCTTAATTATTGTTAATTGAAGAATGTTGGGCCTTAGTTTAGGTTTGACTAGGGCTTGCCTTAGAAATACATGATTCGGATCCAATAGGCCTTAGTTTCGCCCCGACGTCGCTCGGCCGGCTTAGATCCCTGTAGACTGGTGTAGCAGACTTGAGTCTGATAGTTTGGGCCTTAATTAGGCGATACACTTGCTCCGACTTTAGTTCTCCTTATTTTCCCTTATGTTGTTCCATTTCTAATTTTTGAGAAAATTTGGGTTTTAGTTGCATGTTGATTGGCTATGTGTGGACGGCGTTTCACGGACATTTATGTGTATGGATCGATTGGGACTCTTTCAACAGCTACGTTGGCACCTTTATAGAGCATCCGGTTAGAGTTCCGGCCTCTATTGCCCAGTTACTTATATAGAGCATCGGTTTAGAGTTCCGGCCTCTATTGCTCAGATACTTATATAGAGCATCCGGTTAGAGTTCTGACCTCTTATACTTGTTACTTGTGATTGGTTACTTAGGTACTTTTGGTGAGCATCCGGTTCGAGGTCCGGCCTCCGTACTGTCAGATTTTACTAATTAGGGTTGAGGTTCTGATTCGTGTTCTTCGTTCTTGGGTTCTTTTATGCAATTCTCTTTAGTTATAGTTATTATGTGTACTCGTCGGGCTTATGGGGGTCCGTTCGGGTTTTTATTTAACTTGCGCACGAGTGTACCTTCTGGGCTTATGGGGGCCCAGTTAGGTGTAGTTAGCTTATAGATTACTTTAGTTAGTTCTTTGTACACTCGTGTGCATTCCCTTGTTAGTTAGATTTTAGTTCTTGACTTCGGTTTGTGTTATTCCTTCTTTTCATACTGCCTTTACTTTTCTAGTTCAGTCGGCCTATGATGCCTACTGGGTACCGGTTGTTTTGGTACTCATGCTACGCTCTGCATCTATTTCGTGATGCAGGTCCGGGCACTAGTAGCCAGCGTTGATCGAGCTTGGAGCAGACTGATCCGGAGACGGGAGTGAGCACACGACGTTTTGTACTATTTCAGTCTCCATCTGTATATATAGACTTGTCTTTTACCTTTCGAGACAGTCCAGTCTCTGTTGTCCATTTTTGGGACTTGTACTCATTTTGTTAGTAGCTCTGTACTAGTGACTTCCAGGTTCTGGGAGGGATCTTTATTTGTATATATGTTTTTGGTTTGCTTCCGCCTGTTTATATTGTTATTTGCCTACTCTTATTTAGTTTCTACCCTCAGACCCATTACTTGTTGTTCCGGGTTACGGGTTGGCTTACCTACTGGTGGGTTATAGTAGGTGTCATCATGACTTGAGAAATCGGGTCGTGACAAGAAGACTGCTTGATTTGATGCTTTTGGGGTTAGAGAAATGGAAAGTGAGAAAGTAATTAAAATAAGCCAAACCAAAGAGGATCGAATGGTTTTCCACTTGCAAGTATGTTAATGAGCTTTAGAGTTAATTAATGAAGTTGGTGGTGGCCGGTACCTGAATATTAATTAGGAAATATTATAGAAAAACTTGCTTTTAAGCAATAATTTGAAATAATAGTCAATTTAAGAAAAGGCCAAATACATAAATTTGCCCTCATATTTCATTTAGGTACTCTATTTTAATTTTGTTTCATTTTAATCTTTCAATTTTATTTTTTTATGTATCATTTAAAAAACAAAATACTAGTATTATGATTTCTTACTTTTTTTTTATTTATATTTTTAATTACAGTTTTGCATTTTAAAAATTGGCGTATGTCAGTTAGCTTACGTAATAAAAAATTAATGGATGAATAGTTGAGTAACTTTCTAAGTGAAATGTCAATAGTTAATTAACTTTTGAGTTATAAAAAGTTGAGTGACTTTCTAGGTGAACAAATTTAAGTTGGGTGATTTTGTAAATGAACTATTCAAAGTTGAGTGACCATTTGAGATATTATCTCTTGGTTTATTTACAAATCAATATTCCTACTACAATTATTAATTAATTATTACTCTTCATTCTGTAGGATAAAAGTAAGGAAAAATTATTTGGACGAATACCTTTTAATAAATAATTACTGATTTTAGCGACACTTTTTGATTTATTACCATTTATTAGCAATACTATGATAAAATCTGCAATATGTATTAAAAAGTGAATTATATATGCAAT